CACCAAACCCTAACCCTAAGGGTCCAAGGACCCAAATAATAGGGTTTTCGGGCCCAAATACTAGAATATTAATGGTATTTGGGCCCTAAAACCCTATTATTTAAGTCCTTGGACCCTTAGGGTAAGCTAACGAACAGCAAGGCTCTCGTAATACCAGCTTGAATGCCAGGACAAGAACTGACACGTCTTACTGAGGCCGTCCCTCTCTCCAAACCCTAAATGTCCAAGTACCTAATAATCATTTACTTACCCAAGACCTATACCATACTAACCTAAACACTTAGCCTAAACACAAGAACCTAATTATTGGGTACTTGGACCCTCTGAGAAAGCTCTGCCCGCCTCAAGTTCTGCGGCTCCGGAGCCTGTGACGGTTGTGCCGGCGGTGATGGCTGTGATGGCTGCTCTGGCTGCACTGGTTGCTCTGGCTGCGGCTGGCACGGCTGGGAAGGCTGCGACTCCTCAGCTGGTAGCACTGGGGGAGCGGCTTGTGCTGGCGGCGCTGGTGGAAAAAGAGGCTGCGCTGCCGCTCCATGCCTGGGAGCAATCTGAAACAGCTACGCAGCTACTACAACTTTCATGTCAGAAAGCTCCGAATGCTCAAAGTAGTGTTGCAGCCAAATACAGGCGTATAGGCGTCCGGCAAACAAGTTTAATTCCTCGTGCGTACGTAATCGCTATGCTACGAAAACATCAGCCGTTTATGCGCTTCTGTTGGTGGTGGATATTCGGACATTAGAAATGCACCTTCACTCGCTGTTCCCGCGAGGACTGGCGCATCCGCCCGCGCCAACGCCCAACACCCAGGCGCAACCCCTAAATCGCACTTGCCTCAGGTCAGACCTTCTTCAAAAACCTGCGGGCCTGCGGGGCGCTCCACCACGAGCTACGAACTTCATTGGGCTCAAACCCTTCAAACAAAACACCAAGGCAGCGTTTCCGATCCGACCATCAGCCATCCTGGCGCAGTCTGGAGGTCTACGTGCGGGCCTGCTGTGCACATAACATGCGATTGTAGATCAGCTTGATACATCCCTGAAATTTGCCCAACACATGCAACGCGCCATACACTGAATACTCCCTACGGTTGATACTTATAGTCCCCCTTAAGCAAATGGAATATACTATATATAGCTTTGGGTATATTATAGTAAGATTCCCATATACCCCATATTCTATCTACTTAACCGGGACTATAAGTTCATGCATGGACCCAAGTACCTATGCCAGGGAATTCGGGTATCGTTGTATTATCAAGGTACAAGTTTCATTCCTACGCCCTGAACTCTTAGCCTCAAACTCAAAAGCCTCAGGCCCCCAAAACCCTGCACCTCCCATCTCGCCCCCCAGTTGGGGGGTTTATAGTCCCCCTTAAGTAGATAAAATATGGGGTATATGGGGATCTTATTATAGCATACCCATAGCCATATTCTATTACTTAAGGGGGACTATGAGATGTTGGGCCTTAGTTGCAACCTTTTCTTGGATCCGAAGTGGTGCAAGGACAGTTGCTCTCCTCCTCCCTGAGGGAAAATCAAAAAACTTGAAATCCTAAACACACTAAGGGCTAGAAGCCCGTGAGTCCTGAATCCTACCTTGAATAGCCTATTTACCCACAACAAAAAAATGTTTACAGCCGAGTTTACAGTAGCTTATCCTGAGGCCCCTTATATTCCTCTCTGGGTTATGAGGGCCAACAGGATCTACTGTAAATGATTATGTACCCAGCAGAGACAGGGGCTTTGTACCTGAGACTTGGGAATCTTTTCCTTGAAGGGTCTAACCCTAAACCCCCAGCCTAGAGTAGGGTTTAAGGACCCTAAAACATGTAAAGATACCAACCATTCGGGTACAATACCCCTTGTTTCCTAGGTACATATACACATATAAATATAAATATATATATATGCATATGGTTTAGAGTTTAGGGTTTACAGGGTATATATATATATATATACATATATTTATATCTATTTATTTATATGGGTAGATAGGTTACTCTAGGTAGGCTAGTCTGGGTGCGCACCGAATTTCTGCGCCTTTCCCTTAGCCCTAAGCCTAGCCTGGGTACAAACTGAATCTCTGAGTCTTAGGCTGCGCAACGCCGGGCGGAAGGGTGTGCGCAGCCCTTGATCCGTTCACAACACTTGGCTTTGGGAGCTGTTCGGTTTGCGGTTTAAGGTTTAGGGTCCCAGGTTTAGGTTTATAGGGTGGAAGCTTTTTGGTTTGAGGCTTACTGTAGGTCTAATGTTTAGCTTCACAAGTGATAAGGCAATTAGGGTGAAACGCTTTCTTGATGTTGTAGTCCTGGATTCGACGGTAAGGGCTTCGGAGAAACTTTCTTTTTCGTTTCAGTTAAAAGGCACGCAAGTCAGACCAGTCTATGTATCAAGCGCGGGAGGAGATCTTTGCAACAAATGTGCATCTCGGCTCTTTATGTAAGGCGCAGGGATCTCCATGATTAGATTTGATTAGAATTTATAGGGTTTAGGGTTGAGGGGCCTGCTGTAAGGTCAGAGTTTAGGGTTTAGGGTTCAGGGTTAAGGGCTTGGGGGGTGAAATTCAGTGGCTCAGGGCGTAACACGGCCAATTGACTATCTGTCAACATCTTTATGAAGGTCACGTGAGGTATCCTATACCAGAAAAATACAAGCAACCAAGGACCTCGCAAATATTGGGTGGTACCTTGGAGGCAGCCACGATTATCTATAACTAGGTGCCCTTGTAAGCCAACAAGAGGATTTGCTAACTATTCCAAACTGCCACCTAAGTTGAAACTTACTGCAGTAGCCCCTACATTACAGCTGGATTTGATGGCGCTAGATTAATTCCTGAGGTCTCGGTCAGGTTTTACAAGCAGATTCTTGGTAGCAGTAAGAGAGCACCCCTATTGGAAATTCACGAGCCGATTGGGTATTCATGTTGTTGGTAATATTTTCAGCATGATAATTAAGATTGTGGCGGCAGCAGTAGCAGCGAGAAGAACAGAACCAATAATGAGTATGGTAGTACCCAGCATGGCAGTCCTTGAGGTCTCGGGGGCAGTGTGAAACAGGAGCAACGGTCAAACTGCCTGCCCAACGATACAGGATTGACAGTTGAACTTTGCGAAGCAGACGACATATTTCAAGGGTTGAAGCCCAGAAGCATATGTGGTGGGTCTGCATGTCTCGATATCAAGCACCCCATGGATTTCTGCGCTGCATTTCATAGCATACCAATTCTACCAGGTACCTTACTGCTGCACATCTGGAGCCTTGGGCCTATGTGCACAGAGAAATGGCACGGCTCAGTAAACTATGTATAGATCTTCCCAAGAGACGTCCGTGACTGGTCGCAAGTTCTAACTCACTGGAAACAGGTCTCTAGGTAGACCCTCCATCTACCCTCTATATAGACCCTAAATTCAGGACCATATACCCTAATTTCAAGGCACAAGGAGGGTCCCGGTATGCAGTGCTCCATCCATTGAATCTGGAATCCCCGGCTGTCTCATCAACGGCGCAGTGCTGGGTTCGCGCCTGCAGGGTCTAGAGCGGTTAAGGGCTAAGGCTTTAGAATAGCGCTATTACTAGGCAAGCATCCCTCAAGATTTCCCTCCGCTTGTTTCCCTAGGCTTGCATCAAACGAGTCCTCCATACAAACTCCCAAACCAAACAATCCCCAGCATAGGGACCCTCCCGTTGAAATGTAGACCCGTGATTTATAAACCCCCTCCCCATAATAGAAATTATAATCCTTTCACCCTAATATTGAACGGCTCCCCCCCTCCCGCCCTCACGTAAATAAACGGAACCGCATTTAATATTAGGGGGTGGTCATTTGTCGTACGACAGCGGACGAGAACCCTGATTTGGATAATGTTGTTCTCGTTCATGAGAAACCCCAGGAAACCCATGAATCAACAAACATTCACTTTCGGCAGGGTCTCTCGCGCGCCAAGGAAAGAGCCCTGGAACCCTGTGCCTCGAACGATCTCAAAAACATCAAAGGCTTTAATTAGAAAATGCCTCAAATAATCAGGAATGCATATTTCTGACAGCTGACCGAGATTCTAAAGTACTTGTATTTTGCACTTTGCCTGCAAGCACCCACGGAACTCTAGGTATGCCTGTCCTCTGTCCAGGTGGCCTCATCACAACCAAAAAAAATCAGACAGCTGACCAGGTAGATGCTGGGTCCCGCACAGTACCCCTTCCTTACGGCTTGGCAGTGCTGAAAACACAAGCATGTAGTTGACCGTATTGGAGGTTCATAGACTGGGTGAATACTTATGACTCTTAACCCTCGCAAATTAACCTAGTGCCAGTTAATGCTAGCTACCCAAAGGAGTGGGGTCAGAATCACAGTTGTAAGTAATTAGTTGCTTAGCCCCACGGACCTCCCAGTGCAAATTAGCCACAGTGACAGTACAACAATGTACTGAACGAAATTGTGACTTGTCAATAACCTAGGGCCCTTCAGGTCATTGTTGCAACGCATTTGGGCTCAGCGACTGGGACCAAGATTGCTATGCTAGGGGTTTCTCTAGACACAAAACCGTAAACACTAAACCTTAAACCCCACGATTGCTAGAGGACCCCCCCGAACTAGGACAGACCCCTTTAGCAGGACTCTGAGAAGGGAATTATTAAGGGAACCTTTGGGTCTTTCAGATGATTTAGAGTTTAGGGTCCTTTCTAGGGGTCCCTAGACATCTACACGATATATACCCTAAACCCTACACCATGTTATAGGCCAGCAAAAACTCAGAAGTATCAGAAAAGCAATGGTATTTGCATCGTGGGCACTCCGTACCTCGACCCTCTATCTACCCTCGATTTGCCCTAAATTAGGGACCGTATACACTCATTCTATGGTACAGGGAGGGACCTGGTGGTAGTCTGACGTGTTCGTGTCTTGGATACGTAGCGAAGGTTTAGGATCCAGCGCTCTCAGTGAACGGCAGGATCCGAAATCCAAAGCTAAGACCTAAACCCTAAACCCCAAACATAAACCAAAGGGCGCATGTAGCTATATAGTATAGGACCTAGGGTTTAGGGTCTAGAGAGGGTATATAGTATGTACATGGGCCCCAAAGTAGTTGTATGGGAACCCCTTTTCGGCCTTAAGCAAAGGGGAAGACCAGGAATAATGCATTTTGGTTTTGGGGCCCTATAAATATAGGACCGAATCCAGACCATCCCTTTAATTGCCCTGAACCCTAAACCCTAAACCCTCGCTACCGTGGGAGCCTTATGGAGGACGTGTGATTTTAACTTTTTTGGAGGCCCTATTGTAAAGGGGGGGCCAAGACTAAACCCAGTGCCACAGGATACATTACCCCATAAGGGTCCAAGGACCCAAATAATAGGGTTTTAGGGCCTCATATTACAATATATGAAGTATTTGGGCCCTAAAGCCTCATTATTTGGGTCCGTGGACTCTTATATAGTCCCCATATATCCCCTTATAACCCCTTCAAAGGGACCCTGTTACTTGGGTCCTTGGACCCTTAGGGTAATTACAGCTACGTGGACTCTTTGGGAGTTCCCGTCTCATGCTCGGAACCCTGAGGTAAGCCCAACACACTGCCCCCAAAACAAGGGTAGAATACATGTGCAACCCAGAGGGTCCATGTTGCTATATAGTATATACCTAGGCCCTAAAGTAGCTACAAGTGGGCCCTAAGTGTATACCATATAGCCACATGGACCCTTCGGGCAAGCTTAGAGCCCAACCATCCACACCTTGTGTAGAGATGTAAGGTTGAGGGCTTAGGTCTATTCTTACCAGAACAAGGTAGAATCAAATGGACAAGAGAATGGACAAGTGACCTGACAACTGGCATTCTATGTTAGGTTGTACATAGGGTAACCTAAGCCCATCTACAAAAGGTAAAAACACCGGCGCGTTGGGCGCAAAATCCTGTTTATGGGTACCTTTGCTACTTACTCTAGGACACAAAACCTTCAATGAACCCCACGTCCTGGAGCATGACCCTAAACTTGAAACCCTAAACTCTAAACCAAAGTTTTACTTATCAATGGCCGAGGCTCTGCGACGGGATTTGGACGAAGCACCCTTTCTGCCACGGGATTTTCTCGTAGCACCCCTTGGGGGATAGGATGCTCATCAGCAGAGCCTTGCTGCGGGGTTGTGGGTTGTACAGTTGACTAATAGGGTTCCCTAAGGGTCCGAGGACCCAAATAATAGAGTTTGAGGGCCCAAATACTATGAAATATTGATGGTAGTTGGGCCCTAAAACCCTATTATTTGGGTCCTTGGACCCTTACGGGCTTACATAGAATAACCGTAATGCATCTCTAAGTTCCAACTCCCCGTAACATTACCGCCAAAAGGATTAAAATCCCGCTATTGGAGAACATCCAATACAAACCCAAACCAATCCTCGTATACGAGGGTACAAGGAGGGTTCCGGAAGGGATTCTAACTTGAGCGAACTGCTATCGTCATGAATCTTAGGGTAAACTATCCTAATCCGAAAAACGAGATTTCGCAGAGAGTCCATGTTATATAGTGTAGGGTTCAGGGTTTGGGGCAGGTATATAATATATACTTGCGCCCTAGAAGTACTCATATATGGGAACCTATTTGGGCCCAAAGTATAGGCAGTACTACATAGCTACAGAATTTTTTACAAGGACTATAATATATAGGGTCCCTAATGCAGGGTATGTAGAGGGTAAATAAATGGAGGGTCTAGGTTTAGGGTTTAGGGTGGTTTTAGGGTTTAGAGTTTAGGGCTCAGGGTTTAGGGTGGGCATTTCCGAAGGCCCCAGAGTCAATTTGTTTGGGGCATCATCGGCGCACGTTTTGCACCCTTCAACTCCAAATACACAAACATTGACCAAGGCTTTAGGTGCCAAAAGCCGTCGGGATTCCGGTGATTTTGATTCTCCAATATTTGGATAAATGGACCCTCCATGCACGATTGCAAAAAGGAGGCCTCATGTATGTGGCTGCCTGCAAGCCCAGGAGGCACAAACATGTTGCATTAGCCAAATCTCTACAGCAAGTGGACCACGAGCACCCATCAATCGTCATAATCCTCTTCTACCTTCTTTTCATCATCTTAATCATCATCGTCATCAAAACCATCAACATCATAACTCTTGCTGATTCGTGCTACTGCTGCCCCTACTACGAGGCTTCAATCTGCGCAGTGGGATTATCCGCGTGTCATTGTTTCATTGTATTCATTGTTTCTGTCTGCAGTAGGGTGCGCCGGTGTGGCGGGCAGTTACGCGTCTCAACAGATGAGCTGCCAAAAATGATTCTTCAATGCCCCTAAACCCTAAAACTTAAACCCTGATACACGCTAAAACCTCAACCGCGTCACAGGTCAGGTGAAGCTTGGGTGAAAACCAGGCCTTCCATGACGGAGCTAAGGACGGGTCTAAGTGGTTCTTGATAAACAGGAGGTCCATGTAGGTATATAGCATCTAATCAAGTACCAAGAGGCCTCCCAACTAGCTACTTCAGGCCTGAAGTTCATAGCATATAGTCGCTCCATAGCATGGACCTTTTGGGGTACAGAGAAATCCCATGGGAATAACCAACCACTTCTTTCAGAACTCCCACCACTGCCCTGCCAAGGTTCAGGAGCCCTGGACCAAACCGACCACACCCAACTCCGAAAGTCCTCTTTGCTTGCTAAGAACTAATAATTGATATTGGAGACCCTAAAAACCCTAATCCCTACGGGTCCAAGTGCCCAATGATCATATACTTACCCCAAACCTGCACTAACCTGCACTAAATTTACTATTACCCCATTCCCAAGTGCCCAATTATTGGGTACATGGACCAAAAACCCTAAAAGTCTCCACTACGGGGTGGGATGTCCCTAGTTTCTGACAAGGGTGTCCTCAAGAAGGGTGGGGGTGGGGGAGGGGGGGATGGTAATCCCCCTAGAATTAAAGGACACCATGGTTAAGAATGATCCTTCGGGTTATACTAGAACTACACATACTTCTAAGGAAATAGGCGGATATTACCATGACTAGAAGAGGGAGGTACACTCCCCCAAACTAACATAGAAACCCATACAGTCCCAAGTTAGTAGTCCCCTTTTGGAAGGACTGTAAGACTCCCTAAACCCGAAACCCTAAATGCAAAGCAAGCTCATTGCCAGGCCTGCCGGCCATTCGGTCGAAAGGAAGGTGGGCAACAGCGACACCTCCTTCTGGGTTGCTGTTACGGACCTTAAATTAAGTTACCATAGTGGGTTTAGGGTTTAGGGTTTACCAGAATGGGTATATATTATAATTTATAGGGTTTCCCCAATACAGTAACTCAAATTAAGTTCCTTAACAGCAACCCAGCCTTGCGTTGCAGGTTTCAAGGTTCAGGGCTGATGGCTCCGGATTTCTCAGCCCACATTACCCTAGGAGGAAAAAAGCTTCATTTTTACATAAAGATAAGGAATCCCATAACACACAAAGCAGAAAGGGTCCCCAAACCCTATAGCATCCTATAATCTCCCTATAATGTCTCCATATAACCTGTATATCCCCCTTTAAACGATGCCTAACATTGATCAAGCCTTGGGTTCTGTCAACTTTGGGGCTCCCGTTGAAATCTCAGATTGGCGCTCCAGGCTTGAAAAGCCTTCGTTGATTCATCTTCTGCTTCAAAAGGCTAAAACCCTAAGGGTCCAAGGACCCTAATAATAGGGCATTAGGGCTCAAATACCTTTGATGTTTTCATATTTGGGCCCTAAAATCCTATCATTTGGGTCCTTGGACCCTTCGGGGGAAAAGGAGGCGTCCTCGGTTTCAGGGTTCACCCGCTGGGGTCTTTAATGGTACGGAAATAAATCGTTTCGCAAGCTCGTGGCGATTGTTACGATTGGCAGCGGACTGACTAGTATCAGGGCTCCAATGCGCTTTGCCACGCACATCTCATACTCGCACCTTCATATCAGGCTGGCCCGTAACCTATGAACTGGTTTCGGAAGGAACATAGGAGCTAGAGCAAAGCTAAAACCGGGCCATCGACCACAGTGACACAGATCTTAGATCCTAACCCAACGCTCTACCTAGAACAACTAATCTACTACGAAGGAAAGGCCCTTGTAGCCAATACTTCAATAGCCTTGCTCTTTCACGTGCATGAGCCTGTTTCAGGTAAACCATGAACCCCAAACTTATCAATAAATCCCTTCAAACCCAAAACCCAAAACCCTAACCCCTAAATCCTAAACCCAAAACCTAAACCCTCAACCCCCAAACCCAAGCACAAACCCTAAACCAGGAGACCTTCTCGGCTGGCATGCATGTAGCGTCGGGCTCAGGACCTAGAAGCTCGCACCTTTCGGAAGCAAGGCTACTGAAGGCTGGGCAGTTCACAATCCCTCAGGGTCCAAGCACCCAATACTTAGGTACTTGGGATAAGCCTAAACTCCCTACTTGGGTAATAGAAATTATAGTATATGTATTGGGTAAGTACATCATTATTAGGTACTTGCACCCTTAGGGATAGACTTCCTAACTGTTCACCTGGGGGTCCAAGTATCTAATAATCACGTACTTACCCCAACCCTGTACTACAATTACTATTGCCCAAATCTCAAGTACCTAATTATTGGGTACATGGCCCCTTAGGGTCAGATTATAACAACCTATCTACCCATTATTTTGGGGTCAAAGGCAATTAGTCTAGGCTGGATCTCAGATTCAGGGTGTCAGTCTAGGGCTCAAGGGTTTAGAGTCAAAGATTTCGGATTTCTAATCCAGGCAACGGGGCAGGGATATTTGGGAGCGTTTTTTGAGAATCTGACTTGCGCAGACCAACAATCCGGTCCGTGTCGCAGGTTTCCTGCTTGACTTGAAGACCATACTAGTTGTGGGGTGGGCATGGCATATCCTGCATGTCAAGCACAAGGTGGTGCTGTAGTTTACTCCCTGCGAAGTCGTACCGGATGAGTGGAGCCTCCAAACTTTCTTGCAGCTTGTCTGCCGTCAAATAGGATTTTCTCAAAATGAGGGGCCCGTCTTGATCCTAGGGATATATTGAGTGGCAAAGGGATTATGGAGTGTTTGTAGCGGCTCATACAAGGACCTTTCTTTGAGAAACATCAAGATACGACACCCACCACAAAAAAAGAAAAGCTAAAGAAGCTCTTCAGCTGGTCAAGCAACAGCTAGGGTTTTGGCTAGTGCCGGATACCCGCAGAGAAAATCCCACTTCTCAAGATATGGGCACACAAAAAGGGGACGTACATGGATAGCAGATGGCCTCGCGCCTTGGTTAGAAGGGACTGCTTAGCCCTAAGATTCCAAGGACTCAAATAATAGGGTATTAGGGCCCAAATACTACAATATCAATGGTCTTTGGGCCCTAATACCCCATTATTTGAATCCTTGGACCCTTAGGGTAGGGCAGTTTAAAGCAAATTCCCGTACAGTCTGGGCCCGCAGCGTCTGCATTAGAACCCTTCAGGCCTAAATTACATATCCCTAACGGTCCATGTACCCAAGAATTAGGTACTTGGGATTTGGGTAACAGTAATTATAGCACAGGTTTGGGGTAAGTTTATGATTATTAGGTACTTGGACCCTTAGGGTATATACTTGGACTCTAAAACACCCTTAAGCCCTCACCCCTAAACCCAAAGCCCTAAACCCTAAACCCATCCTCAACAGCCCCAAGACTCTTGGAACATCTAGAAGCAGAACCGAAACACGATCTTGACAACTCCCCGTAATATACAGATATCATGGGGATGTTGTGGGCTTAGATAGGGATATGTTGTATAGATACATGTATATGTGTATAGATATTAAAAGGATACTGTAGAGGCATTTTCAGTATAAGGATATTATGGGGACAATAAGGATATTGTCTTGGATCCTGCCCCCACCCGGTGGCAGTCCACAGTAGGGCTGTATACATATACATATATATAGACATATGTGAGTATTCATCTTATTATTACAAGTACTATCCAACTGTTTCTGGGTGGGGGCACGACCCGACATATGCCCTAAACAGTAAGCCTCGAACCTTAAAGCTCTGTGGTTGAGGCTTCGGCAGCTTCACATGATATCCTCCGCCGCTGGGCGAAAGTCCCGCCATGTGCACCTCTTTCACAACAGTACCCGAAGTCTCGGTTTAGGATTCATGTGTAGTTTGTTCCTTCCTAGACCCTAGACGGGGCTGTTACCTGAACGGTAAGCGCACCAAGAACGTAGTACTTGGCATTTGAGGTGTTTCTCGAATGATCCCTCTTTAATCCCAAAACAAGCCCCCCTTGTAATCTCTTTATCTTCCCCCCAAAAAAAACAAACTGGGTTTCGCCTCAATCGCCTAGCGTCCCAAAAGGCACATCCTACATTTTAACTGTGTTGATGTGCCTTACAAAAGATCATGCTTTGTCAATGTTGGGTTCAAGTATACTCAGACATGTGAAACTCTACTCAACAACAACTCAGCCCACCCTATACGCTCAGCCCTAAACCCTAAACACTCTCTTTAGCCCTGAACCCTAGTCCTGAACTACCCTACACCTAAATTTGGAAGCCAGACTCGGGGCGTTGGTGGTTTTACTAGAAGCCGGCGAAGAAAAGACACAGCAGCTTTGGGCTGAGGGATTAGAATGCTGTAAGTCAACTGCCCTTCCATCCAGGGGACAAGCTCTATAGCTCATATGAGCAGCCGACAAAAACCCCAAACCCTAAACCCTACTGTAAGTAGTAGTTTCCATTTTCTTTTCCATTATCCCAATATATCCTCTCTATATCCCGTATTTAACCCCTATGTAGAAACCCTAAGCCCGTCGCTCATATGAGTTAACAAGTTGAGCCGGAACAGTTTCACCTCAGAGCTGCTTGGACTTAAACCCGGCAGGTACCTACCAGGACACGCATTGTACCCTCAAATAGAGGTATACCCAAAGGGTCCAAGTACCCAATAATTAGGTACGTGGGTTTAGGGTAGTAGTAGTAGTAGTAGTAGTAGTAGTAGTATTAGTAGTAGTACTGGCTTTGCGCAAGTATATGGTCATTGGGTATTTGGACCTTAGGGATATGGCCCATAACTTAAGGTATATAGAGCGTAGATGGAGGGTCTAGGTACTGATTAGACACTTGCACCCTTCGGGCCGGGAGCGTGTCTGCTCCAACATGCTGCTTGCATTAAGTTCAGCAAATCCCTAGCTGCAATGAACCCGGTTTGGGGTTTAAGGCAAAGGCTACCCCTAAGGGTCCATGTACCCAATATTTGGGTACTTGGGATTTGGGTAATAGTAATTATAGTACAGGTTTGGGGTAAGTATATGATTATTAGGTACTTGGACACTTAGGGTACTGTACACAGGCCTTATTTGAAACGTCACCCGCCCCAAGCCAATTGTTAACTCCGGAGGCTTGAAATACACTGTAAACCCTCCTAGACTCCTAGGTGCTGCCCTAAGGGTTGCAAGTACCTAATAACAATATACTTACCCAATACCTATACTAGAATTACTATAACCCAAGTACCCTTATATTGGGTACATGGACCGTTAGGGCTGAGTCTTCGACCAGAGTATGAGGATGTGTGCGGAAAAAATGATCAGCACCTTTCCTAAGCTGTCCGACAACAAAGACAGTCCTCTGAAGCAATAGCACTTTACTAGAGGCCTATGTATCCTAAGGCCCAGAAATCATATGTGGCAGGAAATGCCCACACAGGTTGCATACTTTCAGCCCAAATTAGACCATAAATTAAACCCTAAACCCCAATAAACCCTAAATCCAAGCAACCTGACTTCCGAACTTCCGCCCACGAATACTGTGAAACACCCTCTCCATGAGGGTCCATGTACCCAATATTTACGTACTTGGGTTTTGGGTAATAGTAATTATAATATGGGCTTTGGGTAAGTATATGGTCATTAGGTACTTGGACCCTTAGGGTCTTCCGATAGCCATCCAAGAGCCCCTCTGTTGTCCTCAGGGTCCGAATACCGAACAAAGGAGTGTTGCAATGGGTCCCAGATTTTTGTGATCTAACTTGTTGGTACCGGAAACGCCAATATTTATCGGGGTGCTTGGACCCTCACTGCTGTATTTCAATATCCTGGCTTGCTGTTAAGGAACTTGAATTGGATCACCATCATGGGTATATAGAGTAATTAATATGGTTTCCCCGATATGATAACTCAATTTAAGTATCTGAGGGTCCAAGGCCCCAATTAATAGGGCTTTAGGGCCCACATACTCTAATATCAGTGGTATTTGGACCCTAAAGCCCTATTATTTGGGTCCTTGGACCCTTAGGGAGTTGCTTAACAGCAAGCCAGTATCACCTGGGGAATCTTCAATGTTGCACGAGGAAAGGGCCCGTAGTGCATGAAGGCGGGGAGTCGGCGAACGAGAAGGGACCCTTTGCGAAACCCATTCCAGCCTTTTGGGGCCCAAGCATCTAAAAATCGTATATTTACCCAAGACCTGTAGTATAATCACTATTACCCTTAACCTAAGTATCGAATTATCGGGTACTTGGACCCTCTGGGATTGTTAGCCCACCCCAAAAAAAGGATCACTAATTTGTTGGAAGCTGCCCACGCGTCAATAATGAAGGACTCAGTCTGAAAAGGATTGTGGGGGCCCCACCACGCCTGACTGTGCCAGCTGACAGAAGAGCAGAACGCTTAGAATAAATTCTTGCTATGTTCTTGCAAGCAGATGTACGGGATCATAATTCCAGGAAACCTCCCCATCCTGACAGGTTGCGATGGTTCAGCAACAAGTTGTGAATCTTTCTTAAGAACTTGGGTGCTTGAAAGGCATACTAGCAGGCTGCAAATGGCGGCGTCCGAGCACGACAAGTTCTGACTGAGCCGGCGTTGGTTTTAGGGATGGGCTCCCATCTGCGATAGGGTCCTGAGTTCCCCGAGATAAAGTACGGCTTCTATAGTGGGAGTTAGAATAGTTGGGTCAGTATCCCTTACATAGGTACTTAGCGTTGCATGAGCCGACATACTGTGTAGATTAGCCGGTAAGCAGTGCCAGTTTACAGTTTCTTCTATGGTCCTTTGGGGTTTGGGGTTTGAGCTTAGGGTTTAATGATGAGGGTTTAGGTGGAAATGAAGGCCCTTCTCATATCCGCGACAGAAATACGACCGTCTCTTGCGTACTCTTTGGGTGTAGGGCGTAGCTTGCCAAAAAACTTCGGCCCTCATTCTACGCGCACCGTCCAGGTGACAACTACGCTGGCAGAATGCCTCAACCCTATCAGCCCCATGATATTCCCTTTTTCCATCCCTAGGAAGCTGACTTGTGCTTTCAACCAGTTTAGGGTTTAGGGAACTTGCAGGACCTAGGGATATGCAGGAGGATACACGGCGACTGTAGGGCTCCCTGTTTAGCAAGATATAGGGGTAATGTAGAAGCCTAGGTAATCAATACCCTCCACTAGTATAAACAACCCAACCCCCTCATATCAAAATATTCAACGTGTGGTATACTAAAATGTTCAGGGAATCTTCAATAGCTGGGGGTGGGGGGGCTTTAAAATTGGAGCGAAGGGATGGCCAATGCGTTGGTGTCATGTTCCTTGTAAAGGTGCAGGATGGGATCCCTCACACAGACCTAAAAATGATGTGCGTCATTATTTGGGCCCGCACAATACTGTTAAGAAGCTCCCATAGTCTTCACATGACAACTTCTAATCCCCCAAAAACAGCAGGGAAAGGAGCTTATATTTGTTCGGCGGCGTGGCTGCGTACATGTCACGGTAATGCCAAGGGTGTCATGTGGCATCTTGTATAAGTGTGTCCTTCAGCATGCTTAAACTGACAGGAACTACAGCAAACAAAATATGGTAAGGAACCCGCATGAGACCCGCTGTAATTTTGGACTGCTCTCAGCTACTCCTTGCCAGTGCCTCTCAGTTCCGCCAGCGACTGTGTGAAATCATGCACTTTTCCTCTCTGAGCCTCACAGTGCGCGGGGCTTTTAAGGGAACTTTTTTCGATGTTATCAGAAGGAGACCCCGTTCTTTACGATATACCCATAATGTGGTAACTTAATTTAAGTTCCTTAACAGCAACCCAGTTTGGGCTCAGGTGAGGGTCCAGGCGGCTTAAGGCTTGGCAGGGTCATGCCTAGAGTAACCATCTAGAGTGTCCAAATACATTGCTGCATAAATTGGTCCTTGGGGCTTTGGTATTCTTGATTCTTAGACAAGTTTTGGGGCAGTAGACAGTTATTACCTAAAGCCCTGAACCCTGATCTTCTTACCCTAAACCCTAAATACAGCAGTGCTTGGAGCCTTGGGGCAGAACATCCGTAAAATCGAGTTGAGTTGCGTAAAGTCATGTTGCACCTCACACGTTGATGTGGGTTTAGGGTTTAGGTTTTGGGTTTCACTACCTGTCTGTGACACAAAAAAGTATATCCCTCCCAGGGAAGGAACATACCCAAATGATGAGACTTCTAAGAACAAATCCCTTGGAAGAGATGTACGCATGACGCCAGACAGTAAGTGTCCGAGTATTCAAGAACTGTTTAGGTGCCGCAACCATTCAGATTAACGTATTTGGACTTACACCCTAACCCTAAGGGTCCAAGTACCCAATAATCATATACTTACCCCAAACCTGCACTAACATTGTTATTACCCAAATCCCAAGTACCTAATTATTGTGTACATGGACCCTTAGGGTAAACCCTAAGCCCTAAACTCCTAAACCCCAATATTTTGGTATGTGGACCTTCTAGGAGAAAAAAGTTCAGATCCTCGGAACACAGGCGCCAGGGCAGCCATGGGGTTGGGTGATAATCTAAAGGGTTTGGGGTTTTGGGTTTAGGGTCTCCGCCCCAATCAGAATGAAACATGCCCGGGCTTGAAATGCATGTTGATTATTGGTGGGGCTTTGTTGAAACACATCTGTCAGACAGTTGTATTGGCAAAGCAATCTGTACTGACAAGCTGGTGAAAAAATCGAGCGGACCCCTACTCCGCAGTGCACTCCAGAGTTCTGTTTACGTAAGTTTCACCTATACTTCCTTCAGAGCCGTTCATGGACTTTCTTCCCTGTGTAAGCAACTATCCGGTGTAAGCAACAATCCGAACCAGGAAAAAAATACCCCGAATGG